AAGGACAAAAGGCCAACAGTTGAAACTCTTCATGGCCACTTACTAGATGTGTGATTGTGTGCAAAGTCCACACTCCCTTCATCTCCTTTTCCTCCCCTGTGGAGCTATAATAAAGAAGTCACCTACTCACCAGGTGATTTATGATCATGGAATGCAACACTCTGTGAAAGCGTTCAACATAAATAAGTGCTGGTTGATAGCTTGCTTGCTTTCTGCTAATGTTTTCAGCCGTCTGTCCTTGTTCCACAAGGAAAACTGAAGAAAGGAAACAGATTTTCACCAGCAATCGTGGGGCACATGTACTCAGTTTGTCTCCATTCACTTCTTAGCCTCCATTAATAAAAACACCAGCCAGCCAAACCCAAAGGCTGAAGACCTGGCCCATCATGTTGGCATCTTAGGGGTTGTGGGAGGGGGGGAGGGTGCTTGCTGTAACTCTGCCTGGTGGGCCAGGGTTCTGACTTTGATGCCACCCCTTCCAGACACACTAACACAGACTTGACACATGGATACTGATAAACAACTGACACATTTGTTCTGTGATTGCTGCTGTTGGCAGCCAAGTTTCAACACACTGATTTGCTTGTTGATTATGAAAGCTTTGATGGGTCCTAATGACAATTCAACCTTGCATGTGAACAGGAATAATTGACCGTAGCTTCTAAACTAGAACTCTCCTGGTCCTGATTAAAAACATGCCAATCCAGTGTTTCTCAAGGTACTGTCCCTGGGTCACCTACTCCTGAACCTGCTGGAGATCTCATTAAAATGCAGACAGTCCCCAGAGTTACTGAATCAGAATCTCTGAGTGTGGGCCCAGGTATCAGCATTGTTAATCAGTACCACAGGAATTCGGATGCACGTTAAAGTTTGAAGACTAGTGAAGCAAATCAGAGTTATCGGTGAAACTACTAAGGCTACATAATAGATAATATTATGGATAGATAATATATTGAAATGCTGAATTCCCATGATAAAAAAAATGAGTGCAACCTGAGAAATTTAAACTGGTGGCAAAATCTGATTTTTTAAAATTTTACCTACATTCATTAAGCACATTGGTTGCACTACAAAGGGCAGATCTGATGAAGGGGAAAATGCGACACCTGTTATACTTTCAACAATAAAGATAAATTTAAAAAGGGGGGGAGGCAGATCTGTTCATTATGCAATCAAAGGATTGACTTTAATGGGTGTTGCATCAGTCTCTGATAATAAGAATAAGCACAGTAGATGACTAACAATTGAATGTGGACCTTCACTTTGGGTTTTACTTGTCTGCTTCAAACTTAGAATTGGGTTTAAATAGGAAAAACACATTACACTGACTAGCAGAACTTCTACTTTAGGCTTCACTAAAGAAAAATACCATCGCTTCCCCTTCCATTTCTCTTAGTCAAGGTCCAGAACTTGGCTGGTGTAGTGAGCAAAGAGGCAGCCTGTATGGTTAGGACACTGGTTACACACAGCAGAAATGACAGACTAAGTAAACATCGAGGCTAATGAAAGCCAAGTTTTTCAGTGCTAGAGAAGCATGTTACACATGGGTAAAAGAGGAAAGGATAAACCCCTGCGGTGTTGAACTGGAACTGAAGGTATCAGTGTGAGCGCATGGTATTTTAACATAGATATTTATCTATATACATGATAGGTAGGTAGGTAGGTAGACAGACAGATAGGCAGGCAGACAGATATAGATGTGTGCATATATGTGAGTGGGTATGTGTGTACATACACATCACATTTCCTAGTCTGCTGAGAAGAATTTAAAGTAATGACATCCCAATATCAATGAGCATTGAGATCATGGTTTCTAAATTACATTCTCCCTTAAAAGGAGCCAGGACTCTTTAAAGAAATAACTGATTCCAGGGCTGTGACAAGGAAATGGCAGATGAGTCCAAAACATCGTGTTGTGCCAGAAAGTAAGGAAGTGCCTCAAAGAATTATGGGGACACATCAAAAGGAGATAGGAGCCAGCTTGAGGGGGCTGATAAATAATCATAGTAATGGGTCATAACATGTCAAACAAAATAGAAGTCCATGAGCCCATGTTCATATAAATAAATGAATGAATATGTAAATAAATTAGAGGAAAGGAAAAGCTCTACCTTATAAGAAAATGCCAAATAAAAAATATAGAGGTAAGCCCTGGCCGGTGTGGCTCAGTTGGTTGGAACATTGTCCGGTACAGGGCACATATGGGAGACAACCAACTGATATTTCTCTCTCCCCCCCCTTTATATATATTTTTTTTTTAATTTTTTTTTTTCTCATTCCTCACCTGAGAATATGTTAGAGAAAGGAAGGGAGAGAGCGAGAGAGATAATAATGAAATTAGAAAATCACCATTTGGCCACTGTCAATAATTGATTTAATCATGAATCATCAATGGCTGTTAAAACAAACAGGTGAAAATTTGATGAGGGGCAGGATATTTACATAATCTCAAGGATATCTACATAACAGGACAGATAACTATTATGGGCCTCCTGATATTATGCACTAAGAGAACACAACATCACTTCTGCAGTATTCCTGCCTGAGATGAATAATCTGAATCTAATCATGAGGAAACATCAGACATATCCAAATTGAGGAACATTTTACAGAGTACATTTTTAAAATTGTCAATATCCTAAAAAATAAGAAAAGTCTGGGAAACTGTTCTTGACTGAGGGAGACTAAAACCAACGACAACTAAGTGCAACACATGATCCTAGACTGGATCCTGGAACTATGATGGATATTATTGAGTAATTACTGGGATAATTGGTACATTTTTAGTGGGGTCTAGGAATTAGATGATAGTGATGTGAGAAGGTGTCTCTTTTTAGGAAATACACTTTGCAGGATTAAGGGGCAATGAGATGTCATGTCTATAACTTTCAAAGGGTTTAGAAAGAATTAATAAATATATATATGAGAGAGAGGAAATGATAAGACGAAAATAGTAAAATGTTAATGGAGGGCAGGAAAAAACGTGTCCTCTATCCTCTTAAGTTAGTTACTTGAGGCCTGCGAATTAAACTGACAGAGGACAGAGTAACAGGGGAAAAAGGGTTTATTCATATAGACTTGGGAGCCTGCTAAGGGAGCAGCTGGCTCTTTAAATGATTCAAGTTAAAGGCCTATATACCTAACTTAGTAGGTGAAAAGGAGGGGACAAAGGCCTTTCCTGGAAGAATAAATAGGTTTCTTTAGGGAAGACAAATGGGTTTTTAGGATAACAATCACGAGATAAGTAGGTTAGCCCATAATGCTTGTCCCTTTGGGGCCATAAAGCTGCCCCTGGAGGAGGAATCTGGGGTGGGTTTTATTCATGTTGCCCTTGTGGGCATAGATCTGCCCACAGAAGAAATTTATTGTAGCCGTATTTCCCAGAAATTGTTGTTTTTAGTTAGATAAGGGAAGCTCCAAGAAGACTTCTTTATATCTGTTGATTCTCAAATGTCTTGAGCTTAAAATAATATTTATACCAACTCTGGAGTTCTGAGTGGGTCTCTCCATGAAATATTGGGAAATGTTGATGAGAAATATATAGGAGTTCTTTGTACCATTTTTTTCAAATTCTATGTAAAGTTGAAAGTATTTCAAAATAAAAAGTTCTAAAAGTATGTAAGCCCCATCCTTACAAATGGGAAATTTAATTTTTAAAATACTGCCAGTCCACTTTCTTTAAAGAAGTGCCAACTCTGAAGGGCAGATTAAATGTAAAAGAAAAGATTTAATTTCCATAAATAAGTGAGTAGTAAGTGTCTATCCTTGAGGAAGAGAGCCCTGTAAGGAACATTAGTAACTCAATCCAGGTGGAACACAGTATTAGCCGGATCCTCAGAGCTCCTCAGGAAGAGATGCAGTCCTTCCTGTCGGACAGATCTCAGGCTGAGTGTAACATAACCATGCAGCTGAAGGCTCCACTTTCTGGGTTATAACCCATTGCCAAGATGACTTCGTGTTCTCAGTTTGATTTTCTTGCCAAATTCCTATCTTAGACATTAGTATAATGTTCAGATTTTCATGCTAAAATAACAGGTTTTGGTTTTTCTATTTTGCAAAGTAAAGGTCCTCATATTTTCCACTACAAGCAACTCATGTGTACTAAATACTCGGAGTTAGGCCCTCTCCTAAGTATGTTATGTGCATTGTTTTGCTTAATCATCTCTATTTCCCCATGAAATAAGAACCATTATTATTCTCTTCATTTTACAGGTTAGGAAACCAGATGCTCTGAGCAATGTAACTTTCCAGGATCACAGAGCTGTAAGTGGCCACATCAGAGTTTGAACCCAGGCTTTCTAATATCAAAACCCATGTAATTAACTATATAAGAAGCTGTGCTATGCCTCAACAACTGTGGTTCCTTCTAGACTCCAGCTTCTAACTTAGGGTCAAAATCCTGTGACAAATAGGCAATCTCAGTTTTTAAAAATCCTGAGATGCCCAAATGGAAAATGATATATGGCAACCATCTCGATGCAAACCCAAGAAAGAGGAGCACAGCTCTGCAAAAAATAGCTACCTTCCATCATAGCTGACTCACATTATACTGTTTAAGGCCTTCGGTTGCCTCGCTGCTGTGGCAAACTGATGAGTGTTTAGCTACCTTCAGTTGCTTTGGTTAAAGGGCAGGAGGAGAGGTTGTTCACAAAAGACAATGAAAAATGCTCATCTCTAATTTTAATTAATTTCTCTTTCCATTCTTAATTACAGGCTGGACTCAATCATCCTTTCTTCCTCGGTTAATTTTTTTTCACATTCAAATAATTTTTATTACAATATATTATAATTGTTTAAACTTGATCACAGGTATGTAAGTAAAGGAACACAGTATACAGAGGGTTCAGTACTATCCAGTTTCAGGCATCTACTGCGGGTCATGGAACCTATCCTCTGCAGGTAAGGGGGGAACTACAGTATACTGACAACTATGCCAATGAGTTTATGTATTCAAAAAATTATTAAAAACACCCAAATGCTAGTGGTACCCTTCAAAGTAATTCTGACATGTTTAATATTTAACTTTTCTATATATTAATCACTGGAGTTGTAGTACATCATACTTAAAAACAACTATTTACAAAATTTACCTTTGCTAGCAATAGCCTCCAAATTTGCAGGTCCACCCCAAAGTGTTCCTACAAGATCTCTTTCCGTCTGTAATGCCTCCTGGAAACAAAGCTCTTTGCCTGAAGAAATTGATTTTTTTCAAAGCTCTAATTACTTCCAGTGGCCCTTCAGTAAACTGCTTTAGCCACTCTTGTGCCTCTTTGAGACATTCAGTTTCATCTGAAGACTTCAAGACCTCATCGACCATTCCTAGGTTTAAAGCTAGTTCTGAATCCAGTTTGAGGGCCCCACTTAACACTTTGAGAGCTTGTCTACTGCCAATAATTTCAGCCAGCCGGGTAGCACCACCCCAGCTTGGTTCTAAACCCATCTTCTTGTGAACAAATCTGATCTCACCTTCTCTAGTCATTAATCTAAAATCACATGCTGTAATAAATTCTGCTCCTCCACCCAATGCCCAGCCTTGAACCAGAGCAACACTTATTAAAGGAAGTCTCATCAATCTTGTTAAGGTGTTTTGCATGAACATACATAAGGCCACTCCATCCTCTGGAGTTCCTAGTGCTTTCACAGCATTCAGATCAGATCCTGAGGAGAATGTATTTTTTGCCCCATGAACAATGAGGCCTTTCCCCTCTGTCCAATTTTCCAATTCAATCCCTTTTTCCAAAAGTTGTAGCATCATAACACCTGAGAAGGCATTCCTTTTACTTGGACTGTTCAGAGTAAGAATGCCAATGCCATTGTCTTCCTTCTGAAGGTCAACGGATCCACCAGGAAACTGCTGAAGGTTTGTTTTTTTTACTTCTTCCTCATGGAAGCCATGAGGTGTATTATAAAGCGACAATCCCATTTGATGTAGCAATTTTGTCCTTATAGACACAGATGATGTCTTCAAAAGACTTGCTACCATTTCCACTTCTAAAAGCACTCTTTGAAGAGACGGTCAGTATGGAATTCCTTTCCTTTCCCCCGTTTGGACTCCATTCCTCTTCGCAAGCTGGTTTCTCTTACTGGAATGATGATCACTGCCTATGCTCCACCTGAGGGTTACACACTCATCTGGCAAAATCAGGCGGTGGCGCGGGGCACTGCGTCCGCCAGGCCAGCAGGGGGCAGCGGGCTGCGCTGCGGCTTAACAAGGAGCGCGCCTCTGGGCCCCGGCAAGGCCCAGTTTGGCAGTCGCGTGGCGAAACGCTGAAGTCGAGTACACTGCGCCATGCCCGGGCTGTCTCTTAGACTACGCTTAAAACACAGCACCTACCTAAGGTCTTAGAGGCCGCCCCCTCAGTTAAATTTTAAATATGTCAAATAGCTACTTCTCAAGAGTATCTACTTGGGAGCATCCAAGAGCCAGGACCAAACTAGAAGGAAATCATGATCCCCACCTCCTAGTTCAGTCCTAGGAGCTCTCAGAGGTTCTTTCTGCTTCAATACACAGAAGTCAAAATGGGACACACACCCTGGCATATTTTCTGGAGGATCCACTGGAACTTCTTTTTCTCACAAGAAAGAATATCAGAAATGAAGTGAATGCAAGTAATATTATAGAAAACCACTGATTCAAATTTATGAAACAAAAAAACCCCCACCTTTTGCAAACTTTTATGTGTCAGCTATTATCAGTAATAAGTCACAAGCAGTAGCTATGTATCATTGGTATATATTTTAGGTTAAATTTCATTATTGCTTCCTTTTAGGGCTATCACATTTTTCCCCTCTTCCTTTGCAATTATTTTATTTTACTTAGATCTCTACCATAGCAGATCTGAGAGAAGGATGACAGAAGCAGAGAAGTCTGTTAGAAATTGCTCCAGCCCAAGAATTCATACTTATCAAAAGTCTAGACTTGTCTGTCCCTCATCAGCTGGGAGACAAGGATGGTGAGGACTGGGATGTCGAGAGCAGGCCTAAGGAATATTTCTCTTTCTCTCAGCTTTATTGAGGTGTAATTAACAATGATAAATTGTACATATTTAAGGTGTACAACTTGATGTTTTCACATGCGTATACATGATCACTGCAATCAGGCCAGTTAACATATCCATCACCTCATATAGCTACTATTTTTTTTTAATGTGGTGAGAACATTTAAGATCTACCCTCTGAGCAAATTCTAAGTATACAATACAGTATTGTTAACTATAGTTCCATTGCTATATACAGGGGCGGGCAAAAGTAGGGCTACATTCTGTGCCAAAGTGTGCTTGAGTATAGCAAGTAGACGACAAAATGTGTAAATAATGAAAGTCAGCAACGAACAACTGGAACAACTGTAAACCTCCTTTTGCCACCCCTGTATTAGATCTCCAGAACTTACTCATCCTGTGTAACTGAAACTTTGTACCCCCTGATCAACATTTTCCATTTCCTACACACACACCCGCCCGGGCTCTGGCAACCACCATGCTACTCTCTGCTTCTATGAGTTTGACTATTTTAGTTTCCACATGTAAGGGAGATCATGCAGTATTTGTCTTTCTATGTTACTCAGGCCCTGGTGGCCTGACTTTGGTAACCACATTTGACTCAAAGGTGACAGGGGTCAAGGCCCAACAGGATCAGAGGGTGGGTTCCTCAGCCCACATGACAGTCACTACTTGTGGATTCTTATACTTAGATTTGAACCCTTGTATTCCCAGACCCCAGAAAGCTGGACAAGTTGATGCCATGGGTGCCATTGCCAAGCTCTGCCCTTGGTCTCCCTGTGTGAAACAGGCTCTAAATACTTTAAATAATAATAATGATAATGAAAATAAATTTGAGTACATCAACTGACAGTGACTGGTATTTAACCATCACCATAAACATACAAAGTAACTTTTATTATTCCTTTTTCCAGGTGAGAATGTTGATGTTTACAGTATTTAAATAACTCATTCAAAGTCAAACACAGATGTGATTTTGAACCCAAATCTGTCTCTCAGGCAGTACTTTTAGTTTTGACCTTTCAATGTCTTTCTCCTATACCTAGACGCTGGTGGAAGCTCTGGTTTTCCTGCCACAGCCCTCCAATATCCCATCAGTGCTTGATGGGAAGAAACACAAAAGTGGCTAGTTTTGCAGCTATTTATTAAAAGGGAGTCTCTGACCCCTTGCCATATGTTTGTGTGTGGGTTCCTTGGGAAGCACACATTGAGACGGAGATCGGCATGCAGGAAGTCATCAGGAAGCACTCTTAGGAAGCAGATGAACGGAAAGGGAAGCTGAACTGACATTCGGTCTCTTTGAAGGCTCAGCCAATCCAATGGGGAGCTCTGACACCCAGATGGCCCTTTAGAATTGGAGTGGGGCAGCCAGCCCTTTGCAGGCGCACATCAACCAGGCTTTGAAAATGGGCTGCTCTGGAAGGGCATCACACTGTGCAAAGCCACACTCTTTGGCTGAGGTACTTCCTAACAGCTGAGGACTGGGGGAAATTGTGGCCCCAACACACACACACACAGACACACATGCACGTGCAAGCACCTGCGCACGTAAAATCTATGGCACTCACCAGTGCCTTTTAGAATTTCTGTTTTTAGGAGAAAACAGAGTTGTTACAAAATGCTGATTATGAACTAAAAAGAGAATGATTAGGCCGCTGACAAGATCCAGCCACATTTGCATCACTTGTATAGCCCAGTTTTAAACTGCTTACAAGGAGGGCTTCTTCCTTGCTTCCTAATTAATCTTTCAAAATTTGCCTCCCATAGCTCTGACTCACCAGACATCTGAATGCTTATTTAAGTGTTTCCACACTTCCCATTAGAATTTTTCCACTGCTGTCTGCTGGAAGAATACAGATAACACCAGGGCCCCTTAGGCCTTCAATTAGTGCTTTCTCTTACCTCCGTTAGACTTTTGCTGTCTTGGATTTCACACACTATTTGATGCTGAAAGAGTGGAAGTTTCCTTCTACAGTACCAGGTGCAATTTCTGACACATAGTAGATACTCAATAAATATTGTTCAGATGACTAAATGGTGTGTTCCAGTTGGGAACTTAAACATCTCTTCTGATGCTAGCAACATTCTACCAGTTTTTGTGCTGCATGGTTTCCCACTGGCTGCCCAACACAGAGCCATTTGCCTAGAGTTATGCTCAGACTTGGAACCAGAAGGATTAAGATTACTTCCCAAGCATCCCTCTACCTAGGCATCCAAATATAGAAACTGTTAGTTAATTTAGTCAAATCCCTGTGGTTTTTTGTTGTTTTTTCAAAGTGAGACTCACATACTTACTACCTAACCATTCAAAAGATAATTCAGTACTTTGCAATTAAGTAAAACATACAAAAAAGTCAAGCACATTTTCCCCTTGGTAAAGGCAAACTAAACTTCTCAAAGAAACGACCTTTCAAAGTAGATGTAATGATTTTAGCTGACATAGCATTTAGGCAAATTTACAAATTTCTCTTTGTGAAAATCAAATCAAATCATTCTGGATTAAGACTCAGAAGTTTCTACTTTAATCCACAAAAATCTCTGCTAAGAGTCCTTCCCCTTCTCCAGACTCCTGGCCCAGGCTGGCTAGATCCCCTTCGCTTCTATTTTTCTATATATAAATATGACCCTGGGGAGAGAAACAAGATGGCGGCGTAGGTAACCGCGTCCCCGCCGCCTCCCGCAACCACATCAAAATCACAACTAAAATACAGAACAACCATCACTCAGAGCCTTCTGAAATCTGGCTGCACAGAAGCCCCACAACCAGGGACCTGAAGGAGCAACGGGAGCAGGAGGAGGGGCAGAGACTTGCCGCGGGCCCACACCCAGTGTCGCGGTTTAAACCCAGGAGGGAATCTCGGTGACAGGGGTTTCCCGGAGGAGTGAGGGGTCCCAGCCCCACATTGGGCCCCAAGCCCAGGGCTCCAGGGCTGGGAAGAGACGTCCCCACAACTCCGGGCTGTGAAACCAGCGGGGACTGTCGCTGAGGGTCGCGGAGGCTGCGGGAGCCCCAGCAGCTCCTCTAAAGGGCCCGGCACGGACTCACTCGGACGCTCCCTCTGAGCCCAGCGCCGGGCAGCAGCCTGAAAGGACCTGGGACACTCGGGG